GAATGGGGGCACCAGCGCAGGGGCTTGCAGGAGCCCCACTCGGAGGGGCTGCTTGGCCACAAGGGCTGGGGCAGGTCCTTCGGCGTGACAGCAGGAGGCCCAGCCAGAGGCCTTCCTGCAATGACAGGCCCTGAGTCCAGCCCCAGGCACACGGGGGGAGGCAGCGTTCGGGCTGGGAAAGCAGGCCTTGGGGCGGTCAGAGTTCTCAGAGGGGCCCGTGGCTATAGGGCAGCTAGACTTTTGGGGAGGGGCCTTGCCCAAGGCTTTGCAACGGCTCTGAAGCAAAGGAAGCTGCCCTGGGGTACGAGGGCAGGCCCTCTCCTAGATCCAGGAATAAACGGTCAGTTTTCAGACTGGAGAGAGGTAACCAGCGGGGTCCCCCAGGGGTCTGCACGGGGACCAATCCTAGTGAACCTATCTGGACAAAGGGGGAAACATTTGCCACCACCAAACTGCTCAAGAGCGTTAAGTCCAAGCAGACTGGGAAGGACAGGGATTTCAGAAGAGCCGATGAAATTCAATGTCCATAACTGCCGGTTCATGCCCGCTGGAGAACATAACCCAGGTCGCCATAGCAAATGGGGACTAAATCAGCTGTCGCCACTCCCGAAAGAGACCTTGGAGTTATCATGAACAGGTCTCCAAAAACATCGGCTCCATGTGCAGCAGCAGCCGAAAAAGCAAAGGATGTTGGGAGCCATTAAGAAAGGGAGAGAGAAGGCGACAGAAGAGATCCTGCAGCCTCCGTACATCCACGGGACACCCACAGCTTGAATTCTGCGCGCAGTTCCGGTCGCCCGTTGCCAAAAGCAGATCAGGCTTGGAAAGGCTCAGCGAAGCACAGCAGAGCTGAGGGGTTGGAAGGCTCCCTACGAGGAGAGATGAACAGGACTGGGGCGGCGGAGCTTGGAAGAGACGCCATGGCTGGTGCCGAGAAGTGGCTACAGAAGTGTCCCCCGTCTCCTACCACACGAGGTGGGCTCAGCAAGGACACAAAGCAGCACTTCTTCCCCCAGTGCACAAGCAGCCTGCGAAACTCCTTGCCAGCGTGTTGTGAAGGCCCAAGAGCGGGGTTCAAAACAGCCCTGGAGAAGGTGCCCGGGGGGAGGCAGCAGTGGCTATTAGGCAGGATGGGCGGGGATGCAGCCCCCTGCACTGTCCCTGGCCTCAAACCAGTGGCCAGACACCCCCCATGGAGAGGAACAAAGGAAGGTGGATGCTGCCCTGGCTGGGGGGCAGGGCTGGAAGTTAGGGAGTTGGTTGCTGGCTGTCTGAGAGCATGGAGGAGACAGCCTAGGGAGAGGAGCTGGAGTTTAGGGGCCCAGTCTCCCCCCAACTCAAGGGGGCCTGAGGCATCCTAGCCCAGCTCTGTGACCAGATTCCATCTGTGCTGTGCTGTATCCTGGAGAGGCAATAAACTTCCTCTATTCCACCGGCTGGTGCAGTCTGTTTGTGCCATTTCGGAGTGCAGGAGACGGGGGACCCCATATACCACCTTTTTTAAAGATTCACTCTATGTACCCACCACAAATTCCTTGCACCTCAATCAGACAATACACCTTCCTACCTTGTTCCTCAAACCCCATACCAACTCCTTTGAGAGGATAATTCACACCCTTGACCTGCACAGAGTGCTCTCGTTCTACCTACAACAAACTAGGCCTTTTTGAGCATCTCTGAGATTGTTTGGGTCAATAATGAACCACAATAAGGGCTAGCCCCTCTCACCACAGACTCACTCACTGGATCTCAGACTGTATTAATCACTGCTATTCACAATTACAAGTAATGCCTCCAGACAATATAAGGGCACACTCCACTAAAGCCACTTCTGCCTCATTAGTGTTCCTCTGCAAAGTACCCATAGGAGACATTTGTTCAGCTACTACCTGATCTTCAGACCACACTTTGCAAAGCACTACGCACTTACACAGGGACCTCCCTCCAACCTAAAATTTGCTAAGGCAGTCCTTTCTACTGCTTTTCTGCCAGATCCAAAATCCCTGCCTCCCTAATTCAGAATACTTTTGTAGTCACCTAATGTGAAGCACACACAGGAACATCTCTCTATGAGGAGGTTATGCACATTGACAGTAATTGACATTCTTAATAGTGATAGAAATGTAGCCGTGTTAGTCTGGTGTCGCTGAAACAAAATACAGGACTATGTAGCACTAACAAGATGGTTTATTAGATGATGAGCTTTCATGGGCCAGACCCACTTCCTCAGATCAAATAGTGGAAGAAAATAGTCACAGCCATATATACCAAAAGATACAATTAAAAAAAATGAACACATATGAAAAGGACAAACAGATATTAGACAAGATCACAAAGAAAAAACAGTTTCTTGCCATTTCAACCAGAAAGGACACTGTCTCAATGACCTAATCACCTGCATCCTACTCCAGAAGACTTTCAAATCTGCACTTGAAAGGGAATCCTTTGAACTGTCATTCTTGCTAAAATTCAACACTCACCGCGGGGGGCTCAATAAAGACACCAACTACCTTACCCATTACAAAGATAGCTTCCCCAATTTTATCAGCTCTAATACCATTAGCTCACAGACATCTACCTTTCCCCACCTCTAATATCATTAACTCACAGACATTTACCTACCTTCCCCCACCCCCTGCTTCCCCCTTCTGTTCTGAAATGTGATTTGTCTTTTTCATATGTGTTCATTTTTTTAATTGTATCCTTTGGTATATATGGTTGTGACTATTTTCTTCCACTATTTGACCTGAGGAAGTGGGTCTGGCCCATGAAAGCTCATCATCTAATAAGCCATGTTGTTAGTCTTTAAAGTGCTACATAGTCCTGTATTTTGTTTTGACATTCTTAAAGATGAGTGTCCCCATGGATGCTCCACAACCCTTCCTTTCCTCCCCTCTAGTTTGGAATTTTGGACTCCTCACTGGAATCATTCTGGGGTAGAGAAGGAATTGAGGGAGAGTTCATGCATACGCGATGCCTGCCACCTAGAAGTGCATGGTTGCAGACATGTGCATGCACAGCCCCAGGGACATTGCTCTAAAATCTATGATCGATAACTTAGCAACAGCACACTGACCTAATGTGGAGCACCCATGGGGACACTCATCTCAAAGAACATCAGTTACTATCTGGGGGTACGTCTACACTACAGCACTAGTTGGAACTAACTTAGTTCGAATTAGTTAATTAGAACTAAGCTAGTTCGAACTAGCGCATCTAGAACTAAAAACTAGTTCGAACTAGCACTTTGCTAGTTTGAACTAGCGCGTCCACACTGATTGGACGCAGGGGGGCATTTAAGGCCAGCTGAAACCGGTTCTGGCAGGGCATCAGGTCAGCAGTTGCTTTGTGTGGCTGCTGTCTGAGGCTATCTGAGGCTCGTGCTTAAAGGGACCCCCCCGGACAGCCGGTTCTCAGCTTTTCCTGCTTGCTTGCCAAC